ATATATATATATGTCTCCCATGCTTTCTTATCTACTAGCATATGAGTAGACCCACTATGTTATTTAGACAACCATCGTTCTCTCCAACAAAACAAATTACAAATATCGTACTTAACTCCCGAATTCTCTCGGCTTGCATCACATTAGAACAGCAACACCGAGTTTTCGCTTATTTCTCAATCTTCTTTTTTAAACAGGACTTCGTGGTGTTTCGAGCTGCTTTCTGCTGCATCTCTCCGTTAGAGAGTTGAGAGTTTAGAATGGTAGCGTCAGTAATCCACTGCATATTATTATATCAGTGCCTTTCTCTCATTAAGTCTACTCTTCTTCCTGAAAGATATTGTTCCTCTAACCAACATAAAAGAATCTCATGCGCTAAAAATTTAGCGAGAACAGTGAAAGTATAACAACACTAAATTTAACTTCTTAATTACTGCCCATCAATATTTTTTAAGGCAGGATAAGATGTGAAATGCAACTACTGTGGTGCAGAGATATTTGCAAATTAAGGTCCCTGGCCAGAACGAACCGCGACTATCCTTTCCGAGGGCTCAAGTGTTACCCTCTGTCTACACCACTGAGGCCCTCGAATTGCGTTTCTCTCAGCCAGTTTCCTACCTAACAGTACCTTCAACAATCACCCGTCAATAGAAAAGTTTTCAGAAAAAAATCAGAGTTATTCATAAGCTACTGCCAATTTTGTCTTTTCTTTTGAAGCTCGATACTTTTTGGTTGCATGTGACTTTACTCGTCTATTTTATTTCATTCATATTCACGTATACTACTATATTTTTGCTTTGAAGCACAGTTTTCGATATGAGTTTTCAATTCCTGGAAATTTGAACTTGGGCATAAGACATCGACAGGAACGAGCAGCTATACTCATCAACTTCGAAAAAAATTTGAAATTTTGCTTTGACCGAAATTCGTTGACAAGCAGACCATGTGAGAAAATTTGTCTCAAGACGGTGATGGCAACCTTGAAAATGAAGAGGTTCAGTGGCGATCTGTTATAAATCACGATGCGTACATCGGAACACTTCAACCGGACTGGTAAAGGAAAAAGGTGGCTTAAAAAGCTCCAAAACGTGAATGTCATTCGATTTGTGGGACAAAAGCCACCTAGTTTCTTGCTTCTTTGGGATATGCGAAGAGAAATGCCTTGCTACCACTTGCGACATCTATGATAATATTCTGTGGAATGATTAGACAGAGATGAAGCACCGGAGCACATTAGCAAGCCAGATTCGTTTTAAAAGAAGGCTACTGTAGCTTCCAGATAGTCAGTAAATGAAAGCAATAATTGCAAACTTTTTGAACTCTAGTGAAACCGTTGCAGCAGCGGAATGCTTTTGAAAATCCATGATGAACTGAAATGTCTGTGACCGAACAGTAGAAAGAAGAGCCGATTTTATGAAGAGTTGTAAGAAAAAAGTCGAGAACACTTGCAATTCTGTTTCGTTCGATGGTAGAAGGCCACCACAGTTAGATATTTCTTCGAAAACATAATCCGACCTTCCTACACTTTACAAATTGGCACGTGCTCCAAAAATTTTAATTGCTTGGATACTTGGATGGCTCGTCCTCAATGGTTGTGTGGGCCCTAGCATAACCTCCAATTTTTCAGAGTTTTATTGGTTTAGTTACTGTGGTTCCCTGGAGCTCCGAGGTCAGCTAGGCCAAAAACTGCCCCATGTCGTCATCACCAAGGGCAGTCACGCCCCTTGTGGATCAGAGGGAGATTTGCTACCATGCGACTTTGATACCAAGACGGTAGTGGATCCTTTAACTGGTTTACTGTTAGCCGGATTTCCTGATGGAAACGCCGGACTCCTTCTCAGCTTGGGAGACCCTGCAGGGAGGACGAATCCCCCGCTGTACATCGCAGTCCGACACCCAGGAACACGTCCCAGCCGCGATGAGGTGGTAAAGTGTTGGAAAGAACAAGTTTAATTACTAATTAAAATAGTTGCTTCTTCGAAGCTTTCCTTGTAGTGAACTTCTTACACACTTATTGCCTTGGTTTCGTTACATTTTCAATAAATTTCCTGATATACTGTTGAAATAGAACGAAAGATAACACGGATTAGATCGCTTCTGTTTTGCACACTCTGTTATGCTCTCCTAGTGCGCACGGGCATGTTGCTATAGAAAAGTTATTAACTATACAGGCCCAAAGTTGCGGCTTTTTTCAAACATCGTCTCTTAAAAGTTCAAACCGAAGAAAATGGCATAAGGAGATGTGAAAGCAAACTTAAGTAAATACTGTTCGAAATTTCATTCTTAAATGCTTGTTTGAACCTATTAAAGGCGAAAATTTTTCTTTCTCAGGAACAGAACCGCTTTCAAAGAATTAATTGGCAATAAGCGGCAGGCAGACAAGAGGTTGCTTACAAAAGGATGCATTCAGTACAGTAGTGGTTAACGTTTCGGCGATTTCTTCTTCTTCAAAGCCTATGAAGATCACATTTACACGCAACCTACTCAGTCAAAAGCTTTTATAACCTCAGAAGAGAGCTTACTGGATAAATTTTCATTCCCTTTTTAAGATTGTTAGGACTGCTGAGACGTGAGACTCTGTGCGGCCGGTCTCCACCGCATAACTGGAAAGGAACAAAACGGTAAGTGTTCGAAAGAAACTGTTCAGTGTGTGAATAAAAATTTACGTATGAAGTCTTCTACTGAGGTTATGAAAGGGTATGGCTAAGTAGATTGTGAGTCAATGTGACCTTTCCAAGCTCTGTGAAAGGCGAAACAACCGAAATTTCAGCCAGTATTCTACTGAATAGGTCTTGTTGTAAACAACCTCGTGTCTGCTTCTCAATAAATCAGTGAATTCAGTGAATTATTTGAGCAATACAGAGCTTAATAGAAAGCCAATGTTGAGATTAAGCGACAGAATTCTTGAAAATGCATTTCTAGATACGCGTCTATAAAAACGGTGATGAACACGATCCAGGAAAGCTGATCACTGTCGCAAGGCGCGAATACAAGCACTGGGTGGGTGCATTAAAAGTTTGTTATAGCTGTGTTAGCGGATATGAAGTCAGAAGGGTTATTGCGTGCCTGATCAGCCGATGACACAAGGCTATCACTCCATTCAATATGCCTATTTGTGGAGCCGTGGCTAGTTTCATCGCCACTTTCTGGTGATCATCTGTCGGTCCCTATGGCGTGTAAAAGTAGCCCACTGGATTTTGCCTATTTTAGAGACTCACTCAGCACCATATCTTCCTGCTAGGGCTTTCGTGAAAAACTATGACCATTAGGTAAATGAATCTTCCTGCTGTGACCTTCTGGGAAATCCACTCACTAACGTCCCTTGTATATCGGTTATCGCTCAGATATATTACGTCTGGAGACCTCCTGATATTCGACAATTTAACCCGTAAGGCAGTGCTTCTGGTCTCTGCTCGCTGACATAAGTTGCATCCTCCTTTGCGTAATGTGAGATACTGCCACAATCGCCTTCTTCGTTGCGTGTCCGAAAACAGTCAGTGATCTTTCATCTTGTTTATGTGGCGATCAGTTTTTTACAGGTACATTGAGACAGGAGGAGTTCGCTCTCTTTAGAATGGTGGTATTTGGCAGTGAAATTTTTGTATAGCTCGTGAACAATCTCTCTATAAAGGGATGAGAAGCCCCATTACTTCATGACTGCTTTTATCTCAACTAAGTTGAATGCTTCGTTTAAATCGACGAAAGTGAGGTAGAGTGGTTTCTTGTGTTCACGTGACACTTTACTAAGTTTGTTATCGTGTGGATCTTCTCTATTACCCTAAATCCCTTTCGAAGGTATGCATGCTCACATGAGTGTCCTTCGTCCGTTGTTCACTCTTTTAGGATGGCCACAATGGAGACATTACGGACGACAGACACAAGCAGACTGAGCCATAGTTGCAAATATCGTTGAAGTTTTTTTTTTCTACAACAACGCAGTTTCATTGGTTTTCCGTTATATAGCAACCATCTTTTCTGACAGGTAACGTGTAAACAGAGGAGCCAATGTGTTGATGAATAGTGGCGGAAGGTTCTTCAGGTGTGTTTGTCCTGTCCGGACCTGGTGTTTTTCGATTCTTCACCGACGGAATAGCATGTGAAATTTCGGTAAAGAAGAAACGGAGGAGAGACAGCCTACGAACATCCATCCTCTTTATTTTCTTTTGAAGAAATCGTAGTATTTGCAGTCAATTTTTTGGTAGCCTTTCTGGAAGCCATCACTGTTGGATTTGGGCGTTAGAGTGCGATTTTCTTGGTCTCGTAACTGGTGATGCTTGGCTTACTGAACTTTCAGCGTAGGAGTTGGATATACTCGAGGGTATTTCGCAGTTGTTTTGAGCCACATCTAATCACCTATTCTCCACCTAGAGACGTGTTAAGGTGCCTCAGTACTAACTGGCTGGTGGCTCCTTATTGAGAAAGATCTGTTTTCTTATTCTCGGCGATCCACCAAAAATTTCATATTTAAGAACTCTACGATTCGTAGAATAGTATTTTTATCCAGCGATGTGCTTTTTGTTTCTCTAGTACCTCAATTTAGACATTTCAGTTTTCGATGTGGCCAAAATGTATTTAAAACGCTTACGAATACCACATTATCTGAAATGCTTAGTTCGCTCCTACTAATCGCGACCTTCTCTCGCAATAGATCTCCTTATTCTATTGTGGTTCATTTTCCAAAGGACGGTGCTATTCAGTGGAAACGAGAGCTATGAATCAGAAAAGATATTGGAGTATGGTTAAGGATAGTTGGCCTTGCCATATATCAGCTTTACGTCAACTGACCAAGTGTGTAAATTAAAACTTTTTAAAGTCTTTCGCTCCGGAAATCCTAACTCACTTCCTAAAAACATTAAGAATTTAGTTTTGTCAGATGGAGTTTATGCTCGAATGGCGCACGACCAGTCTACTTCACCGAATATTTAAACATTTAAGGTGTCCGGATTCGACTATTAGAAAATATTCGCTCCTGTATTTGATCAAACAATATTGAAATATACATGAAAAGTCAAAACAAATGTATGAGAACATATTTGAAATGGAAAATTTACGACACTAGCGGAATAGACTTGCAGGTAGTTTTTCTGGATGCGCTCACAAGGAAGCTGGGCACAACAACAGCAGTGCATAAACTGTACTCGATCCACGGCAACAAAGTGCATCATGTGAGTCCTGACTTCTTCAGTCACATTTTGCAACCTATCCTATGTCGATGCAGTTCGCCGAATTGGAAAACAATGGCGAGTATGTTGCCGTTGAACGCGGTCCATTCATCGATTGTAACTATGGAGCACATCGTGTGTGGACCCAAATGGAAAAAGTAAGTCTCGCTAAGAATAAATGGTAAAGAAAGTTTATTGTGCACAAAATCGTTGGATATTACCGATTTCTCTCCACGTTCTTGCAAGCTGTGGCAGTGGTTTATACTATTAGCTGAATCGGAGTTGAATGTTTGACGTACAATGGGCCACCTGTTCTTTTCCTAAACCGTAATATCTACATATCTCTGAGACGAACTATTTCGTTCATAAACATTAGCGCTGCTAGCTTCAGCATTATCGCAGGTTTCCAATACAGATATGGTTTTTCAGAAATGGACATCATTAGTCCGAGTAACTGAGAGCAAACCTATTTTTCTGAACTCAGGCGACAGTATGGATATATACCTGAAAAAAGAAGGGTACGGCAGCACTACCTGCTTACCCTATCCGCTTGATGGACTTTCAAAGAGCCCTACTGTATCAAACTTCTATTTAGGAGGATCGTCGAAGAAGAAGGTAAAAAATTCCTAGTGCGTTGATGTTGGGTGATGCTTAGAAGAGGTCTATACAAGGTGAAGAAATCAAGGTTATATTTGGAGACCTGTTAGCCCAAAAGTGAATTTTCGTGCTCTTATTAAAGAAACAATGATTTGGATGATTGACACGCACCATCATGCTTGGTGGGTACATTGTCTACTGTAAAATCAGTGTTTCTAACGTTTTACTTCTGCAAAATTTTGCCATTTTTACTAAAGTTCGACAATATTCGAACACATTTAAGCACTGTCACCTTTTTAAAATGTATTTTGCAACCAAATACAAATACTAAGGTAAAGTTTCGAGGACGGCTATGTGTTTTTGAGGAGCACCGCTACATTGGTTTTCAGTTTGCGAACTCGGTGCGTTAATAAACATGAAGGTATCATGTACAATAAGTTTGTCTAGAAATGCAACCACAAGATGCCGGGAAATAAGCAAAATTAGCGACCTCAGTTCAACACCGGGCCCTCGACTACCATGTCATCCGGGGGTCAAATGCTACCCACTTCACAACCGAGATCCTTTCTTTGCCTTTTTCTGCGCCGGTTTCTTATCTAACGCTGCTATCGGCAGTCATTTATCAACAGGAATGATCAGGGTACTATAGATAGGCATTGAACTCAATTAAACTGAGGTTGCAGTGGAAACCACAATGTTTAATTTTTTATTTACTACTGTGGTGACGTCTACAGTGACTGAAATATAGTTTAAACAGTTAGTTGTTAGAGTTGTTAGCTCGATTGACTGGTAGGACCAGTTGAATAAAAACAAATGAGAGAAAGGCGAAACAAGAGCTCGGTTAGTGCGGTGGATAGCACGTGGATCCCCAGCAATAGTAATCGAGGGTTCGATGCCTCACTGAGGTCGACAGTTCTGCTCATATCTCAGCAACCTTGTGGTTGTATTTTATAGAGCACCATACCGTGAAAAGAAATTGGTAACAAATAAAACTAGGAGATTATGTCACTTAGATGTCTTGAAATTCGTTTTAATGGTGAAAAAAGATAATGATTGTAAAAGCACGGACGTAAACAGATTTCTGAAAGAGAAACTTTACTGTTTAAGATGATATGTTCACCACACTGCCTATATCACTTCTCTAAGAATTTTTTCTAACAAGAAATGGTAGACCGCCTTTGAGCTTGTGAGATGTGAAGGCGGTATTCCATTGTTCAACTGTTTTCAAATGTAATGGCTGCCACCGCTCTGTTATGCAGCACCTGGACTGATACTTCAACCATGAACGATGTTTTCTGAAATATAAGCGAGACACACAACATCTAACCGGAATGAGCACGCTCCGTCTTCCGGGACGTATTCTATGTTCGAGATCCACAAAGATATAGGTCGAGCGAAATACACAGATGGGTTGGTCATATAATGAGAAAAACAGATCACAGATGGACGGAAGGAACAGTCGAGTGGACTCCATGGAAACTCAAGTATCCTGATGGAAGACAACTGGAACGATGGGCTGACGTGTTCGTAGATAACGTTAACCATCTGCATTCGCAGACGGACGATTTTATTAACCCGAAATGCGTCTCGGGGACGTTACCATATTCGAAGCAAACCACCACGATAGACGACGATTGTGGGAAAATGAAATGAGTGGAAACTACGATAGCATCCAAGTACCCAAGTCATCTCTACCAAACAAAAGAGTTACGAGAGTTTTAAGATTGGAACAGTAGTGTTCCGAGTGCTCAAGAATATCGCTTCTTCCCTAATTGCGTGAAGTTATCGTTTGCAGGTATAAATTTTAGAAGGAACAATTTTTTTTGTAGAGGAACACGTTCAGCCCTGGTAAACCAATTATTTAACATTTCTGATGATTCAAGAGATTCGTGGTTTCCAGAGTTGGAAAAGTACTGTGTTGCACAGCTCTTACCTGGACAAAAAATTTGAATTCAATACCTTTTCAACCACTAAGCAAACGCGAAGTTGATAGGAAGATTTATTCGTCCAACGTTCCAACGTGTTCGCCTCCTTCAGGGCCGTATTGGTCGAAACCGATAATCCAGAGGTGGTTGTACTTCCGATGTGGTTGTTCGTTCTTGCATTGAGCCGAATCCAATTGAAGGACCACCGATTGAATAAGGAATCTCACCCGACGGCGCTTTTTATACAAGAGAAATGTCGCAGTCGCCCCGTTCTTAAGAAGAAAAGACAAGCTGGAACCTAGTCATATAGTTAGCAATCAATAGTATCAAATAAAGGATTAAAAACGAATGGCTGAAATCTGCTTTTACGTGGAGATATTTCCTCCTCGCTTTTTTGATGTGGTAAATAGCCCTGTTTTGGAAGCCGTTTGTTGTTTTTTAACCTCATCATCAATAGCCAATATCTCGTTGCACTGATAAGCTAGAGCAAGGTTGATGCTTGCTTTATTATTATCAATAATCTTCTCGTGCATTGTTCCACTCCAATGGATTAGGCTCGACGCGACTACGAACACATCGTGAGGACGAACGACTGTGAACAATCGACTCGAATCATCGCAGCTCTAAAGAATGCGAAAAAGTGATCAACACGAGCGCAGTCCCGCTCTCAAGAGCACTGCTCTGAAGAAGGAGAGGTCGCCGAACAACAGCAAAAACAATAACAACGATAATTCAATGTTTTTCATCAATAAGCAGACACGAGGTTGTTAATATAGAATTTATTAGAACACAATTGCTGACGTTTCGGCGGTTTCGCCTTCTTCAGAGCCTGGAAAGGTCAAATTGAGATGCGATCTACTCAGCCAAACACTTTCATAACCCTAGCAGATAAAACTTGATAAATCGATTTGTATTCGCATAAGAAACAGCTTCATTCAAACACCTACCGTTTATTTGTTGTAAGTATTTAAGTTAGTTGGTGGATAGCCGCCGCACAGAGTAATACATGGTCGATAACTGGGTCCATGTCAGATCATTGGATCAGCCTGAGGTATGGCGCTAGGTCACGCGTGATGACAAGACACTCCTCCTTGCGGTTCATTTTTGAATTTTTGGCATTGATCCAAAACGCTTCAAGAGTTTTTCGCGCTGATGTTTTCGATTCCTGCGTAAGGATAGTGACTCCTACCTCAAAATCTTCTCCGTTGTGTTCTTGCATCCTATGCGCGCCTAGTGGAGTATTGTGTTTTAGTTTAGATTTACCGACTAGGT